CTTTTGTATGGTCGCAGTCTCCTTTCGTTGTATAGAGGTTTTTTGACCTTGTTTTCGCAACATGGTCATAGTGGTAGGAAGACTTATTGAAACGCATATAGTCCGGGGTCCATTGTCTGCATAATCATTTCCAAAGTTGAACTGTGGACGTGGTACCTCGCCAGACGATGCCGGCGAAACGTTTGGGAATGTACCACGTCCACGGTTCAACTTTGGAAAATATTATGCAGACAATGGACCCCGGAGTAGGTGCGTTCCTCTAAGTCTTCCTACCAATATGACCATGTTGCAAAAACAAGGTCAAACAACCTCTTACTCTACATGGTTGCAAATAAGTGATTACTTCAGGCACCGGAAATGAGTAATGTGGTAGCTGTTTCTTTACACAAATTAACTAGTGTATTATCCTCTAATGTTGAATCATGTTTAGGCTTGTGTTATTGTCTATTGTATGTATGTAATGCACATGTCAATTGGGGAAAGTTTGCATTCAGCCCACGAGTTGCTAGAACGGGTAATACAAACGAACCATCAGGCGTGAATCTTTTGCTTTTTATGCTTAAATGAATATATCGTAGATATGAAAGCCAAGATGGTGTAGCCTTTTGTTCGGTCACAGTCTCCTTTAGCTGTATACTGTTGTTTGACCTCGTTTCCGCAACTCGGTCGTAGCGACAGGAAGACCTTGCAGAACTTCCTATGATGGAAATCATCATTAATACTATGACAGAGGATGCAGGACTGGGTATGTTCCACAAGATATCCCTGTCGCTCTGACAACGTTGCAAAAACAAGGTCAAACCAGCACTATAAAGTAATATAACCCGCATATTTTTAAATATATTCCTAACCATTAACATTATAAAGCTAATGGAGACTGCGACCAAACAGGTAACACCACCTTGGTCTTCATATCTGCGGTATATTCCTAACTTCCAGGATAAATCTTAAAATAATTAATATTTAATTTTATTATATATTATATATTACTTAAATGTTGGTTAAAGTAACAAAAGCGTTCACCCTGATGAGAAGAATTGGACAGCGATTTTTAGTCACAGTCGCATGCACTTGATGGATGGTGTCGCTGTTACCACCTGCTACGAGGCCACAGATAGGAACTTGTGCCTCTAGAGCCCTCTCATCTTCCTCTGCTACTTCTATAATGGAAGGGCCTAGGCCTCCCTCTAGTCCTCCTGAGAGATCGCAACCAATACCGCTAAGTCGGGGACCGCTGATGGCGTCAACATTTAGTTGCTGTGTCTGTAGCTGATTGAAAGGATCGTTCCCGACTTCTAAAAATAGCAAATACATTAATCTCAGCAAATAAGGAATTTAAAAATATAATCCATAAATACTAGATAAGATTTGGTCTTATGCAAACCTGATTATAGTGACTAAATCCAATTTATTATGGCTCCCAAGCATAATCTCACGCATGAAAATTTTCTTGTGAATGAGTAAGTTTAGAGATATAATATTTTTAATATAAATATATATAGAGAGAATAATTTATATCGTATAATTAAAAAGTTTAAACTTATGCATGCATAAACTAGGATGCGAATCGCAAATGATTACAGCCCGACTATCTCTTAGGTACTCAAGTATCTTTATGATCTGTGCAAAGGAATACTGGCAACAAACCATTATTTATTGAAAAAAAACACTTTCCTCATGCATGCAGATCAAGTAAAAGCAACATTTTTATCCAGTTTTTCAGCTACTTCCACTATTTCTCCGCCTCAGTCTATATCCATTTAACCTATTTCATCGTGCCAGGCGCATTTCTACTTTCATTCAAGTAGTTGACAGCACACAGGAAAAGCACGACTCCAATTTCTTATATTATCATAATACATGCTTCTTTCTTACTAGGATTGCCCCATAATTCCTATCAACCCACAATTTGATTCGAGATAACTTAAGTCACAAAATCTTGTTTTATTTCATGAAATAATAAAATTTAAGAACGATAAGGCAGTAATATAGTATAGGAAGTAAAATAAAGCGGCAAACCTGAACGTCTAGTCTGTGCAGCAAAGCCTCCAAAAAAGCTGCCTCTTCGGAATGGATTGAAACTCTCACGCCTTGAAATGACACCAGAAAACGGCAGTGTCAAAAACCCAGCTCCAGATTTAGAGGCTACATTTGTACCCTCTTCAGTGACTAAGGCCGGGGCGTTCAGCGCTGGTACGTTTGAGGCAGTTATCTGTCTTGGCGAAAGTAAAGTCTCACCAGAACGACCAGAGTAAGGATCGGGCATTCGAAGACTTGTATTCGAGGCGCCTAATTCGGGGCCTTGTTCAATGGGTGATCTTGTCTTCTCTGTCGTACCACCACTTTCCCTCTTCTCTGAATCACTCGTTATAATCGACTCGTTAGGCTATTAAGAAGGGAAGTTTCTTTTGTAAGGGTATTCGAGATGTATCCAATATATGAAAAATTAGTAAAAAACGTCGGAAATGTTAAATATAGGACAAAACTCGGTGAACTCTAATGCAGGAGTAAGGCATATTCATTTCATTTTGGTAAATTAAACGATCGATCTTTAAATCGCATTAAGCAAATTAGAGTGAGTAATATTCATATCATATAATATATATATAATATATAATATAATATAATATTCATATGCGTTTTCAGGATTCAGGCTCGCAATGACGCTTTTTCATAGTCCTCTTCATGCACATCTCTTGTTGAAGTACAGACTTATTTTCAGAGCTGTTCATCCAACCTTTGCAGAAATATTATGGATTTCATTTGCAACATTTTAATCCTCCTTCGATGGACAGTTTTGAGGGAGCGCCTGGAGGACCAAGAAGCGTGGACAAAATCAGAAGGGCGGCAGTATGCCTTAAAATGCTCTCTCGGAACTGTAACCGAGTGAGGATGGACTGGTCTACTGTAGTTTTAGCCTCGTCCAGACATCTTCAACGTCCCCAGAGGCATTGAAACCAAGTGTCTACGGGGATGAGCCGAGATGGCGCGGCGACAAGTTCAGAATTTATAGAATAATTTTACATTCAGTCCAAGGCAAGTTCGTTGATAAGGCGGTATTCTATCATATAGGAGTTAGCAGCTTTGAAAGCATGAGAATGGTGTGAAAAAACAGGCATGTCTAATAGAATATACAAGGCTTACATTATAAACAGTTATTACGGCAATTTTAAACGAAAGGTGAAATTAAGCTTTATCGTTACAAGGTCTTTTATTAGGAAAAAAGAGTTATTTATACGGAATTGTTAAAATGGTATCACCTATTGATTTGGTTTACATTGGTTGCCTGTCACTCGACAGACGAAAGTCACATCGGAGTCAGGACGGTGAGCAAAAGACTTACAAACACAATCAGTAATCCTCCTTCAGTTTCCAATGAGATCGATTCATGAATTCCTTCCAGTCAATTTTTCCTTCGAAATGAAAGTCTGGATACAATACATCGTTAAGGGATTATTCAAAGGCGAGATCTTCTTCATGTACACGAACTTGCAACTATTTGCCCCCAGCTGACCCAACCAATAATTCTATGATATCCAACTTACTGAAGTTTTTACGTTGTCGAACATGCAGAAGGTCCAAGTTAACTTACACTACTT